CTTTATGAAACTACAGTACCAGCTCTGAGAAATAAAGATGGTTGTGTATATGTTCAGCCACTATAGCAGCAAGCACCTCAATTTGGACAGAATAGCTCTACTACCAAGTTAGCACAAATGAAATAAAACATCTGCCTATTTTGAGTGTTTAGCTACTGAATTGAGTCATGTATCTAATATATTCATTCACACACCTCTATAAGAGTGGAAATTATTTTATTCCCTTTTTCCTTGATGTGAGGCATGCAAAAGCTAAGTAACCTGCCCAAGGTCACAGATAATCTCTTGCTCTCCCCTCCCTGTATCTCACAACACCTGAAATGGATCTCTGCTGCAGACAGCAGCATCCCTTCCACTCCTCCTTCTCTCTGACAGTGGGACAGTCAGTTCTCTGAGGGATTGAAACTTAGCTCAGAACTTGGCTCAACACAAGGACATGTGGGTGCTATCTGGCTGTAATCTCTGAGTCACATGCATGAGCTAATCATGCCTTTTGCCCTGGCACTTTTTGAAACTATGAGCTCAAGACACTAACAGTCTGGAAGCACTGCATCTTGACTGCCCAGTCCTGGGCTTTGCTTGCTGACAATTGAACCATAGCGATTATAAATATATATATACGGAAAAACTATGTTTGCACTATCACATGCAAGCATTAAATAAGACACATTTGCCTCTGCCTCCCTGCACAAATAATCTAGGTTGTACTCCTTTTTTTTACATTTATGAACAATCTCCTGAGATGACTGACAAAAGAGGTAACTGACATATAACGTGAATCTTACAGTTAGCCATTCCAAGACATGCAGCTGAATAAAATTCTGCTCAGTCAGACATAAAATCAAATTAGAAGAGCTCACTCTCAAGAGAAGGAACTAAATTTGAAACAAATAAAGCGGTGCATAATTCCCTTTTAATGGAATAAGTTCCTAAAACCACACTAATCACAATCCTAACAAGGTAATACATTCCATTGCAAGTTTACCACATCACTGCTCAGTACACAGCAGAGCAGTAGAGCTTCAGTCATGTGAGGGATTTGCCCCACATGCAAAGCGAGCAACTGATTTTTTTCAGTCAGGATTTGTTCAGCAGAGCACTCCTATTTATTAATAATTATACCTTATGGCCTTACAATGTGTGTTGTTCATCCCACATGTGTTCACAGAGACTTTCACCCATCACTCAGACCCCTTGGTTAATACACTACATATTTCTCCACAATGCCCTGCAATATTCCTCAATAGTTTAGAAAAGAACCCAAAAAATGCTCCATCTTAACTGAATTCATTCAGAAGGAAGGTAATGACTCCAACATGAGAGCTGGCTAATGCTGAAGTAACATTTCCTATGTGTTGCAAAAATGCCACTGGATTTTTCTTGACCGTAAGTATTCAAGACCTTGGGTTTGGATCTGATTTTTAAGGACAGCTTTTTTCATCAGCACAGCAGTTCACAACTGTGAGAATGCCTGAGCTCAACAAGAAAGTATGACCACCACGTTTCAAAGCAGCATCTCAGGATGTCCACACTTATTTGGTGTATGGGAGCTGACAGCTTATAACCCAAGATGCTGTACCTACAGAGCACCAATAAATCAAAACAAAGAAAAGAGTTTAATAATGTCTATGATATAGGATATCTTTTTACACCTTTATTAGAGTGCTCAACTATGAAAGTTGTTCTAGCAAAACCCACCACTCACCATGTTGCATATCCTCTCAGGATATGTTTGATCCAAAAAATGTGCTCTGATGACCAGTTAAGAGATAGTTTTGTATGAGATTTTAGAGTCAAGCTGGGTTTTTCCTGTACTGTCAGCAATCCAAATATTTTGACTGAAACATAGCGAATCATTCTTTTAATCACATAGCACAGACTGTAGTTTGCTTCTACAGCTTCCTAATTTTTAAACAACTAACAGGGGAGAAATAATGAAAAAGCCAATAAAAATGATATGATTAAATACACATCAAGAGCAGAAAGAGTAAGCAGATGCATTTCTACCTGCATCTATATACTGTGATACTTACTTAGCAAAAATTTCCATTTATATATCCAGCTGAAAACTTGTTCCCTGCATAAACCAGCTTTTATTTAAAAGATCATTTACCAAGAAAGAAAAAAAAAGGTAACAGTCAGAAGACAGAACTACAGTACATACAATACAAATGGAATTATTTTTCCCTTATACAAACATTATGAGCGTGCAGTGAGGTGAATACCCCACAAATCAAACTGGAGGTTGCTGACACTGGGCTCAACCATTTCCAGACATGGGTTATTTCTAACTCCAAAGATATTTTTAATACTCAATATTCAATCCACCAAGTTTTTTTGCACTCTGTTTTATTGCTACACTTTGATGTGAGGGAGTTTGTTATATAATATGCACACACAGACACTCACAAGCTTCCCCTTAAACAGATATCCTATTTTCTAGCATGATGGCCACACATACGTAAAAAAAGACTGTGTATGGCAAGCAAGAGATTAAGACCATTTTAATGGAGATACAGACAATGGCTGTGCCCTGGTCACAGGGCAAGATGTGCATGGAGGTAACTGGGAGTGAAGAGATGTGACTTAGGCAAGCAAACACAACATGGGGAAAGCAGTAGCTCTCTGAACTAAGTTTGTATCCCTCAGCTCCTGCAGTCTCTGACTCTCAATATGGGGGATCTTACACCAACCAGGCACAGGACAAGTCATCAGCAATTCCCCCATTCCTGCAAATGAACAGCAACTGAACTGAGCTGAGCTGACTTCCAGGAGAGACACATAAAAAGATGATGTTGAACGCCTTTAGCATGAGGAGACTTAGCAGGATTTTTAAAAAGAGAGAATAATTCACAAAGCAAAACAAATTATATTGAATATAATTATAATATATAATTTTAATATATAAATTAAAATTCCAGAAATGGGAGTTAAATTGCTGCTGTTTCCCATAATTCTAACATTCAGTCAGTATCAAACCTTACACTATCTTTTGAATGAGGACACACTGCTCAGAAGGGGGTCTGCAAGGTGAAGCAACCCTTTTGGTGCCTGCAGTTCAGCTCTCTCCAGAAAGTTGATGCTACTGCTTTGTTCATTTCCTTCTGCTGGAAGTGTTCCTTAGGCTCGCTCCTTCACCAGAGGAGTTTGGAACAAGATAGCATCAGTTTAATAAGTTATTAGCAAGTGGGTTTTTTTAGTGAGTAACAGGATACCATATTACAAAACAGATATAATCATCATACCACGGAAAACCAGTCCAAAGAACAACAAAATTACTTGTACAAGATTATCCAGACACGTAGTAGAAACAGCTCAGCTAGTACACTTAACTTTTGAGCCCTACACCAGTGATCAATCCCGTAGGACATTCCAATCCAGTAGGGCTGTCCTACTGGAAATGAGCTGCGGGTTTTCCTGCATCTCTGGTCACCTCTCATTACCCACACCCTACTACGAATGAGCCCTATATCAGTCATTGTGGAGGACTCAAAACACTGTGGAAAAACAGAAAAGAGATCAGAAATGTGCATGGTAGATCCCTGAACACAATTTGGAGCATGGTATTTTTGGCCTTTACTGTTAGTCTCTCCAAGGGACAGCATTAATTTCAGCATTGTTGCACAGGTAATTGGTGCCTGAATTGAGGATGCAAAGGAACTCATTAACAATTCTAGCTAAATTAATTCAATTTTATATAGCCAAACTCTGTCTCAAATCTAGAAAAATAATAAAAAAACAACATAGAGTCACCAAAGAAGGACTGTGGTAGAAAGATTACATCAAAGGCTAATACAGCAATGTGGGCTCAAATACCTACTGTATCACAGATTTTCTTGGGCAGGCAACTTAATACCTCTGTATCTTAGTTCTTCAGCTGAAAATACGGATAATAGCAAAATGGGAGCATACTAAGGATAAGGCAAGATACTCAACAGAGTCTATGTAAAAACCTAACAGAATTGTGTTTGTCCATGGGTAAAGCACAGTAAATTTGCAGCTATTTTTGCTACATTTTAAGATAACTATTTCACTCACAGAGTTTCAGTGCTATGAAGCAAAGATCACATTTTTCCAAGCAAAGGCATAAATACACCGTACATTACCTTCAAATGAAATTTTAGATCTATTTTTTCCTATGAAACAAAAAATAGAGACAAACCCTGACTTGGTACTATCTGCTGAGCTTCTTCTCAAGACAGAGGGGGAGATTCAGGTCACATTTGACTCTACACTGAGTGATACCCAACACAGGCATCAAAACTATTACTGTATTTAAGACCAAGATTTAAAAATCATGCCTAAGGCTGGTAAACTGTAGCTATTCCTACAGTCACCAGAGAGAAGAACACAGATTTCCCAGTTTTACACCTATGGTTAGAGCCAAAAGAGTCCTTTTTTTGTTGCATTTTGTAGCAATGTTTGCAATACAGGAATACATTCTCTCCTCCATTCTACAACATAAATCTTACTGGTATCACTGGGTTTAAGGGACATCTGATACAGTTGAAAAAAAGATAAGCTTAGTTTAGCACAAACACCTTGAAACCAAAAATGCCCAGACAGCAGCGTATCTAAATCACATAAACTCTGTAGGATTTTTTCTGCCAAAAGCCAAGCTAAGCAAAAATGGTATCAAACAGGGATTTTCCTTTATGTTCTGATCATAACAGTCTTGTTTAGGAGGATGAAAAAAAAAAAAAAGCCTTTCAAAAACTCTAAGACTGACTTGAAGACAAACCTATGACATGAATAAATGAAAGCCAACCTTTCCAGAGTTGTCCAGATATCAGTAACCAGAACATAAAAATCAACTAATCAGATGCTGCTTGTTCTTTTTCAGTGAGTCTGTGCTGCCATCTAAAGCTGTCTAAAGGGCATGCAAAAGAAATTCAAAGTCATGCATCTAAATAACATTCAGGAAGCATGTCAGTAAACAGAGAATGCAGGGTAAGTCAAATATGTTAATAAGATGCAACAAAATAATGATGTTGCACTACCTGAAGGAGAAATTCTTTCTCTATCACTTCACTTGTCTTGTTTATAAGCCTCTTCTGTAGTCTCTGTACTTTCTGAATCAGCTCATAGGTAGTGGGGTCTCTGGCCTAAAAAAGAGAAAAGAAGTCCCAGAAATTATGCATGATAACAAATCAGTGTTTCTTGTTTGCAAATGAAAATCAAAATATCTAAATGTTCAAAAGTAATAAATATAAAAGGGTAGGGGTGGCAGTGTTTGGTTTTGGTTTTTTAAATTACATGCATACAAGTAGTCCTGAAACCTAATGTATCAATTGTAGCAGCAACTGGAACTGCCCACTGACAAATGAAGAGCACTGCAAGTACTTCCCACTGTTTAACAACCTCAACAGTTGCTTTGAACAAAAAAAAGAGTAACTGCAATATAGTATTGAAACAGGTTGAGAAGTGAAGAGGAACAAATTTGTGGGGTACACTGATGAATTATGAGCCTGTAAAGTGTCCATACATGTGAAATCTCATTCTTCAATGGAATGAAGTGGAAAAAATGGTGACAGTGTATACACTGTACTGCTGCCCTCTATCTACAGAGCCCATAAAGACCAGGACCTAGATGTCTGTCTCTCTGTCCCTTCTCATTCTTTTGTCACAGATTGAATCTGGAGGCAGCTCTAAGGAGCAGAGAGGTAATTCTGTGAAGAGCAGCCAGCAAAGCATACTTTCCCACTACTTCATATCTTCTTGTTGAATCTTTTCCTGAAGGGCAAACTCTGACTGAAGCTTTTCCCCACTCAGGGATTCTTAACACCTCTCTTCCATCTGGTTTCTCTGCTCTCATTTGGTGTCTCATAAGGATTAAACTCACCCTGCAGTAAAGGCTCCAATAAAGTCCTGCTCTCTATATATCTGCTTGAGCTTATAAGGAACTTGGTATCTCATTGCTCCTAATCTTTTGTCTGATTTTATCTAAATTGACTAATCAATTCAAGCATAACTAGGACACTAACACAGATACGCACGCAGTGCTCACAACACAACACCATTTCCTGAGAAACAAGGCTAAAAAGTAGATCAGTCCCCATGATCCACGCAGTCCTTGATTTTTTTTATAGTGCCAATTGTGACAACTGTAGTGATATGAGGGTATTTGTTCATTAGGAATTGAACCAAAACCCCATCAGGATTATTTCACATGGATCTTGCCATCTGCTGGCCTTTCTGTGTTCCAAATACAAACCAGTAACCTAGAATGTAAAGACCTAATTTCCTATTATCAGTCTCTTCATACATTCATTTTCCCAGCACTGGATGTTTTGACTGGCCTGATTTTTCTTTGTTACAAGGTAGTGCTGGAGTTCATACCTACACGTGTTTAACCTAGTTCCTCTCCCTTCCATGAGAAAAGCTAATCACATTGTTCACCTTAAGCTCAGCATGGAAAGATTAACCATTATGTTAATAAGCACAGTCAAAATATTCAGCTTTGTTTCTGTAGGGACAGAGCACATTACCACTCATTATTAGAGCAGCTAAGCAATCCAGGCTGGCATCAGATCAGAGACCCATGAAAGAGCAGAATCTCGGATGGCTCTGACTTACATCAAAAATATCCAGTGATGCCAACTGATGCTCATATATTCGGCCTATGCTTGATGGATTTTTTATTTTTCCCCTTCACTTGGCAGGTTCAAATTGTGTGACAATTTAGATTAGCTGTTTATGTAGAACAGTTGAACTCACATTACCTGGAATGACTATCTTTGGGAGCCCACCACTGTTATGTGGAGGCCTGTTCCTTTTCTCACAGATGTAATTTACCTTCTGACTTCATGTCTGTCCATTCTCCAGTCTACCTATTCTATGACCCTTTTAAATTCTGGCTTTCTTCCCATATACATCTCCCTGATTGGTGAGAGTAGGGTTGTATCTTTCCCCTATCATCCTCTTTCTTGTCATCCATGTTAAGGAATCACCCCCTTCTCAATTCACCTTACGAATTCTTACTCCCTTTAGCATTTGACTGTCTCTTTACAAATCCCTCTGCAATTTTTCATTGAAAAAGTGATACAAAAATAACACTGATTGCATTGTGCAAGGAAACCATTCAGCAGTTAAGGGTTCCACTGGCACTATGGAAATTCCAGTCTGCCTGCCCCTCCACATCATTTGCGTAACAGTAAACGAAATGGGCTTTGTGCTGGGTCACTGATTTGGTAATAGGGGCTTTGGGAACATGAAATGCTCACACATCACCTCTAATTTTCTCCATCTGTGAACTTTCAAGGGCTTCTGCAGCTCTTCTTCCAAAATTCTGCATCGAGTCTGTTCCTTTAACAGTTCCTTCTGCATGTGATGAACCTCAAATCTGAAGACCAGCATGAAATAAAAAGAAAAATAACCCACTGAAATCATATCAGTGTGACCAAGGCACTAATATGAACATTAACAAGTCATTCTCTCATGTACTACAGCGCACAGGAAGCACTACAAGGAAAACACAAAGAGTCACTTTGCCACTACAGCAACACTGTAGTGGCAAAAAAAAGTAGCAGCACTGACACCTCTAAACAGGTGGAATCATAAGGTAACACAGATCTCTTCACTTGCTCCATCAACAATGGCTCAGAAAAGCGACTCTTGGGGAATCCACTCCACAGCCTACTGGATCTCACTGTTCATATCTTCCCATTTACATTAAGGCCAGAAGGATTGTTAGCTCATCAACCTACAAATCAGTTATGGGTCACATCCAGTTACCCCTGGATTGAATCTAATAGTTTGTGTTTGAAAGAAGTTTTTAAATCTATTTGGCTAATACAATCTATTAAATAAAACACACTCTAGGCCCTAAGTAAGACGGACACCGTTCCTTACAGAACTGAAGTTTGATTTCTTTTACTCTTACTACCTCTCCTCAAGGAATTTCCGAGATGACTTGTTGCTGAATTTAAAATTAATTGAGCACTACCAAGATTCTTTGACAACTAGGCCTTTATGGTGGGGATTGGGGGTTGAGGAGCAGGGAAAAAAAAAAGGTGCTTTTTGGAATGGTCTGACCCCGATCACTCTAGTGATTGGATCCTGTAAGTTCTCCAAGGTCAAAAGGAGGTGGAGAATCACGATGTGCCTGCCATTGAATCTTTTCCTGCTAAGCTCAGAGTTACATTTAGCTCACTAGAGAGAAAAATACCTTTTTTTTTAACTGTGAGGTTGGACAAGGTTATGGAGGAGGAAAAAAACTCACATCTCCAATTGGCAAATCAAGAAAGCTAATTAGCAGCACAAGTGATATATGGAGTCTTTCGACAGGCAGTTTTCATGATGGTTTTGGACTTCATTAAAGTATGTGATTGCTGCTGCAGTTAGGAAGAATTGATCCACCCATCATGGCATGCATCACACTACACTTCAATACCATCACTGAGTTTCAATACAGTAACAGACTTTCAGCTGAATGTATTTGGGCAGCAAGTTCAAATCCTATTCCTGTCTGCAGTCAGTCGATGAAAACTGCAATTGCTAATGTTGTGTGCCCAGTTCTCTTTTCTGTTTCACCAAATCAAACTGGCATAATTCCACTGGAGTCAATGGGACTGACCATGGACTGAAGTTAATTTGTTCTGCTGAAAGGCATGGAATTACACTGATAAGCTAAAGATCTAGCCCAAAACTGTGGTAGCTACATAGAATTGGAATGATGGTTATCTGCTAAAAACATAACTGCCTCTCTTTACAAACCAAGACTGATTCTATAGAAAATGACATTAGTTTCCCATTAGGAAAGAATACACTTCTAATAGAGGAGGGTTAAAAAAAGGAATGAAGCATTAAGCCAGAGAAGGAGGAGATAAATCAGGCTTGGGCTATTAAACTTGTGTTTTAAAGAAACACAACCTTCAATGAAAATTTAACTAAATCTTTCTAAGAGAGCATGCTTGCATATAAATCTAGAAGGAGAGAGCTCTGAAAGTGCCAGAGTTTGTCATAAATATGTCAAGTGTTCCCCATACTCTGTGGATCGCTTAAAAAAAAAGGGAGTTCTACTAATCTGAGCCTTGTACCACTGTACCACTATAAACACCTTTTGTGCTGATGTCTGTAGGTTTATTCTGTAGGCAGCAACTCACAGTACAAAGGGAAATATGGAAACTGTTTAACTTTGGCCAAGATGTCTTCTTTCTTCCTTCCTATATTTTAATTTTCTTTATTGCTGATAAGTTGTTTTATAAATTTAATCCAGTTTGTGTTTGAGTTCAGACCAAACCACCTCCTTCTCCAAGGTATAACGCTTGTTGATACAAATCTTTACCATGCATAAAACATGTTTTCTGTCTCAAACATAAAATCATGGCTGCAGTCACTATGGAAATGCATTCAATCAGGTTTTCTACCTGAGGTCCTCCACATTAGCCACGCTCTTGCCGAGTATTCCCTTCTCACGCCGAAGTTTTTTGATCTCCAGCTTGAGAATTCGGACGTCCTCCATTCTCTGCCGGTACTCGCTCTCGCCCCTGTTGAGGATGGCCTGCTGGATTTTTATCTTTTCATAGAGCAGAGCCACTTCATCATTGCGGCGAATAAGCTGGGTGGCCAGGGCGTGTCTCTCACTGAGCACCTGTAAGGGCACGGGGCAAAGCAGTGAGCTCAGCTACAGTTCCTTCACACCATCCCCAACTATCATGACTATATTTGTATCAGTCGAAATCATGTGCATTAAGAGGCTTCACTGTTTTTAATTAAAGAAATATGGCAAGAACCTAATAGTATCCCCTATAAGGGTTCAGTCACCTGAACAGTATAAACTACGTATTTCGTTCACTTCAGTGCCTTACCAGTTTGGTTTTAAGGCACTATAAAGCTTTAGTAGCACCACATTCACAGTAGCTGAGGATCTTCATCTTAAAAATGCACTTGACAAATGAGGTAACAAAATGCAGAGTGTTTGAAAACTCAAATTAGAGATTCCTACCTTGTCAAATTCCTTCTTGTGCTTCAACCTCTCTGCATCAGCTTCAGCAATGATGTTTAGGAGTTTTCTCTCTTCTGCCTCCTGATTTTCTATAAATTTTTTGGTTTCCAGAGCCTGTCTTGTCAGCTTAACCAGTTCAGCCTGATGGAGAGAAAGAACATAGATAAACTGTGCTTAGTAACAACTTTGCATTACATAAACCTACAATTAAGACTTGGGATTTTAAAAAATATTTCATACATTCTTTTAGCTTCCTGAGAGGTACATATTTTGTTAGTTTTTGAGAATAAATCACCAAGACAAGCAGGTATGAAGACCAAAAAGAAATATTGTAAACACTATTTAAAAATCATTGTAGAAATTTGAAAGGATTTTTATCTATTACAGTGGTTCAAGTTGTAATCCAGGGATGTCCCATTTAATAAATTCAAAAAAAAACCCCATACAGGTCATATTTGGAAAACTTTTCAGGAGTTGTTATTCAAATTTTAAAGTCAGTCTGGGATGTGAGAAACGAAAGTTCACCTTGCTAAGAGGGCAACAATCTATGCTGTAGAACACAACTAGAAAAGGCTTCAGACTGGAATAACAGAATTGGTGGAGAAGATGACAACCAGGCAGGGAACAGCAAAATTAAAGAGCTATAGCACTTTGCTTAGTGGATGTGTGTAGATGAAGAAGACTGGGAAAAGAAGGCTGTCCCTAAGTGAAGGAGCAGCAATGCACTGCTGCAGTGACTGCACAGCACTAACAAACCAACACTGCCCAATCGTTCTACCCCACTGTCACAAAATGTATAATTCAAGGCATGTATGTAGATATAAACTAATAAGGTCTTCTTGGATTATTATCAAGTTTCTATCATTGCTATGCAACTAGAGCCAAGGTGGAACTAGCTGACCACATTTTAATAGATATGCAAATTTTCAAGCCTTGACTCAAAGACTTTGCCGCAGCTCTGGCCCTTATAAAGGATGATGTTCAAGTTGCCTTTTGGGAACAAGCATCATCCAATGTTGAAAGAATTAGGCTGTGATAAAGGCTGCACCTGCAAAAACATCAATTTAAGACAGAAACAGCTCCATCATCATAATAGAATAGGTTTTTCCATTCTTATTTTCTTTAATAAAATTCTCATTTTCCCATATGTGCGAGACATATCTCTCTTAGTCAGTGTTAGATATTCATCAGAATTCATCAGCTGAATGAAAATGCAAGCCACTTCACACTGAAATGCAATCAACACTGTGCAAAAGCTGTCTACAAATGTAAAACTGCTCATGTGTTCAGTACTGCTGGATAGTATTTTTTTAATATATCAAAATTCTATGGTCTCCTTATGTCAGAAAAATATGAATTGTAAACAAGAAGTGGCATTAGATGTTGGCAGTAAACATTTATATAAACAAATCTCCTTACTGGAACGCACTAAGTTAAAATAAATCTGAACTGCCTTGTATAGTAAAGAACATAAATACTTTAAGCCACACAAAAGCCCAACAAGTTAACAGGGTTTTCAGTTAGATTAAATATGCAGAAAACTACAGTAGGAGGGTCTGTGTACGTTAGGTAAGAGAAAAGGAAATGAATAAACACAGTCACTGGCAAGCAGAAAAATGATCAGGTCTGAAATGCCTGTAAATCAGCCCAGCTCACTTGAAGTCACTTCAGAGAATTTATATGAACTGAAGAACAGTCAGCAAGAAAGAATAATGTATATAGGACCTATACCAGTATCTCAAACCAAATTCAAACTAAATTCTTGTTTAGATTCTGAAATATTACTGAAAGTTAAGAGGTTTTTTTAGTGGTATTTGAGGTGGAAAGAAAATATGAGTTTTACAAAAGTTATAACTAAACACAGAATTCTGAAATAACAAGGCAGAGGTTTTATATCCAGATTTCTAGAAAATGCTAAAAAAACCCAAATATGCATAAACATCTACAAAAATATACAAAGCTTGACTTGCCAGCAGCTCAAATCTGGAGGGCCATAGATTGTTTCCAACATTCAGATGCTCTGTCAAACCACCCTGATCTGCAAGCCTGTAAGAAGGCCAACTAAAGCCAAAACATGGCTTTGTACTGGCTTTAATTGAGCCTGGATCAGGTATCCTCTGTTTAATTTACCATGATTACACATTTGTGAGACCTTTATGCCATCTGAGATGAGCATAAATCCAATGTCTGTATAATCCCATTCCTATGAATGCCAGTTCTCCACGATTTAGCACATTCTTTAAACTTATTTCCCAGAAACAACTTGCTCACTTCCTTCACATCAGCGCAAACAGGACAAAGTGAGGCTGGCTTGCACCACAAATAATTGTGTTCTTTCGTGCCTGTGACAATCAGCTCCCTCTGAATTCTCCTCTGTTTTAGTATTCAGCAGTGCCACTCAGGTAAGACCACAGTGCCCAGCAGCAATGTCATGTCAATTATGGACAAACTTGCCAATGAGTCATTGTGTGTGTAAACCATGTAGCAATCATATATTTGTCAAATAAATGGCAGATAGTTCTGAGGTGATGAGACAGAATTGGGGACTAGTTAAGGTAGAAAGATGCACCCAGGAAATGAGATGTTGTTTGACTTCACCATTCCTGATAGAACAACTCTGAGACAGATCAGGTGCAAGAACACAAATTCATCACCTTTTTACAAAGCCCCATTGACATCTTGTCATAACTTTAATGTGCTGAGAGGGGCTGAAAACTCAAGAAGTCACTGCAGCAATGCAATAAACTGAGAAAAGAAAACATTGTGAAAAGTGACAGAGAACTTCTAAGTTTTCTGGGGGTATTTTTTTTTTCCCTGCTATTGTTTTTTTTCCTCAGTGTTTAGTGAAGATTAAAAATAAGCTTCTGTGGACACTAACTTCTTAAATCTTTCCAGAGCACAGCAAATTGGGTTGAGATATCACCACAAATCTAATAGCTTACCTAAGGATGGGCTGCAGCCAACACTTAGAAGAACCAGAGCTTCAAGCTCAGCTTTCCTTTGATTTACAACAGATTCTTCCTGCTTTATACCACAATATAACTTAAATAACATAAAATAACTTTCTGTGCAGAGGGACCTACTAAAAAGCACTGCCTAACTCCCAGAAGACTAATGCTTGCTAGTTACACAGAAATACAAGATTGTAAAGTGTAATATAATGGGGTTTGCACTAAAAAACAACAGAGAGAAAAGAAGGTTTTAAAAATAAAAAGTTGCATTACAAGGATCCATATTAAAAAGTTTGCTAGAATCAGGCTATCCCCAAAATCCACTTTTCTGATAGCAAAATGGAACTTTTTAGTAAAAAATGTTCAGTCACCAAGAGATTTAAAGCTTCCAACAGACAGTTCAAGACTTTTCGATAATTATAGGCAGAGATTAAATTTGTCAGATACACAGATTTGTGCAACTACTGTCTCTAAAGTGTACTGAGATCTTGTGCTTCAATGACAGAATAGTTTTTTAAAATACAACAAAACAACTACGACAGACCAGAACATTCTGTGAAATCATGGCAACTATCCTTTGTAAGAAGGTATATGTGTGAAGGGTCTTACTTTCAATGATTCCTTCTCCTCCTCTGATTGCTGATGATCTAGATGTGCTTTTTCAAGGGCTTCATCTTTGTCTTTGAGCTCCTCCTTCAGCTGATCCAGCTGACGTGTTGAGGTTTTCAGTTTCATCTTCGTCTCTGCTATCTCATCCTAAGAAACAGAAAGTGTGATCACACAGAGGGTTAAAAAAAGAGCTTATTTGTGATGGGGAGTTCAGGCTGTTTAGATGTTAGAAAATGTAGCCACAGTGCAAGAGAGGAGATCTGTTGTATAAACTACAAGACATCACTTTTTAATCCAACGGACCAAAACAGTTTCATTAAATGACAATTTTTTTATTATGCCAGCATGACATTGCAATAAAAAAGCCTTTAAAAGATACACTGGCAAAAATAACGGTCATCAATTATGAGTTTAATAAGCCATTTAAAGTGTGGGACACACTATAAGAACGAGCAGTCAATCCGAATTATTATGATTCAATCATATCCATCTGTTTTCATGCTCCTAGTACTGTGTTTTTCGGTGATGTTGTATGCATTTGGGCACAAATCTTTAGAGAGAAGCTGGTTTTGTGCAAATGAACACACCCATCAGTGAGGCATCTATATGGTTGCAAGGGAGAATAGAAAATGCTTACCTCCATTTTGCCTATGTTCTAGCTTGGACAGAGGTGTAAGGGGGAAAAGAGTCCCTGCTATGAGAATACTTAGCATATATTTTAAGCTCAAAACTCAGAGTAAAAAGGGCTGGCAGCAGTGAAGAGAGATCAGGTCACTAAGAATACTTCTACTCACAGCACAAAGGTGCCTGAGTGTAGAAAATTAACCATTTCATTTCATCCCAGTGACAGCACATGTTATGACATGAAACGGAAGCTAACAAATTCAGTGCTTTTCTGGATCTGATGAAAGTAGCTTTAGAAGCTCACAGACAAGACATGATAATCTTTCATGTCAATACATCCTCTTCCAATACAAAACCAGGGTTTTCAAAGCTCTTTCTATGCTGTCCCCCATAGGTGTGGATTTACTTGACAAATGAGTGATGTTTTCTTGCATGAAGTGCTCAGCACAGCTAAGCAAGACCTTGAGTTACAGCAATCTTCATGCAAACAGTACAGAAAACCTGCTGATTAGTAGTAATTTGTCATTAGGCCCAACTGTTTGCATGCTCAGCCACTCTTGTGAATGCAAAAGTCTTATTAAAAGCTGTCTCTGCTACATAACCTATAAATATCTTTACAGTCGTAAAAGATGACAGATTTAACATACAGTGCCTAGACATTTACCCAAATACATTCTCAATTCGTTATTTAATGAAGAACAGTAAGACCATATAATTTTGCAAGCTGATCTTCTAGTCAGCTTGCTTAAACAAATGAACTCCTAACACCAAAAGAAACCCCAAGGATGAAAGCATTGGGTATATCTCATATTAACAGACTGCCAGCATGTCTTTTCCAAGAGATTTTACTGAGCTGAACATTATAGTACTTTGGAGACCACAAGCAAGGTGGGCATAATGGGATCATTTCACATCAAGCAATCTAAAAATACTTCTAGCTTTATATAAACAAGCCTGAGCAAATTTGCTTTACTTCCTGAAAAGAAAAAGAATTTACCATAATGTTTAAAACAACCCTCTTTTTTTTTTTTCTTTCATGACTGGCTTGAATGGCTGTTTTTCTCAGTGCTACACATAATACTGCCTTGGCCAGAAGATCTTCTGGGGTCAGCCTTCTCACGCAGGACTTGCTAAAAAAGTTTTTCAGTATGCCAAGTAAGCTATTAAAGTCTAAACACTGGCCTCTAATAGCTGGAACTGAACAGCACAGTGAATACCACCATGTAACACTCAAAACCCAAAAAGGCTCCTTCGTTTTCTAACTCAACACATAGATGCTCTTCCTTATAAGTAAGCAAATTTATGTTCCATGTTTTAAAATAAAAACAATTTTTTAAAAATCAGCATTGCAATTTTTCAACCCTATTTCTTCTGAGAGAGTCTTTGGGAGCAGCAAGAATCCCAACACTGCATGCATTGAGAGGCTGACTAAGGTCAAGTAACGTGTCCCACATAAGTGGCAAAATGGTTCACCCCTCACAGAATTCAGTACACAGTTGGATAAGAACTTGGACAGCTCATTCCTTCTGCTTTTCAAGCAAAACACCTACCTATTCAAACCTAAGTATAAATCTTAAATTTCCTATATATGTTTACGTCATAAATCCTTATTCAGAAATAACCCAGGGCTGTAAATCTCAGCTATCCAAGGTCCCAATCTCTGCCAATTACAGTAGGATTTGTGTAATATTTTAGATCTTTACATCAGAATAACAGAATACATCCTTAAGTGGTCTGTTCACTGTTTCTAGTATTGTTATTGAGATCCCCAAGGAGGAGATATGAATGGAGAGAATAATTTTCTGAGGAAAATGACAGTCTCTGAGAGGATAAAGTAAGGTGGAAGCATTTGGTTCTTGTCAAAAAATTCCACTTCAGCTGGGAAAGTGTTCTTTCTGCTTTCTAAACCATTATTCACAGTAATGTGCAAACACATTCAGGGTTAAGGAGGCAATCTTATTCCCCTTGTACCCTATTTCACATACATGCATACAACTCCTAAAGGGATAAAACAGAGTGGAGCCAGAATGGTTTTCTGATTCTGAAGCTCCAGTGTACCATGATTTTATGCATGGTTTGAAGTAGGGATGTTGCCACATGATGACTGCTGACTCCTATTTCCAGTCCAAATACAAACAGTGTAGATAAAATGTCAGGGACCTAAAACATTCATTTCCCCAAAACCCACAGGGATGAGGAAACCACTTCTGCCATTGATCCACTGAGCTTCCCTTTCAACAGATTAAAATTAGATCATCAAAAAAACCCAACAAGAGCAGAGAGAGAAACACGAGCAAAAATGTATCCTTCTACCTTAGCTTCAATCAGATTTTTACTGCACAGGCTCCTCTCTGCTCTCAGAGTTTCACAAATGTTTTGTTGCTGTTTTAATTTAATCATTTGCACTTGTACTTCTTTCTCGTAGTCACAGATCTGTATTTGACATATTTCAAGATCTTTCATGTGATGGAGGACCTGGAGCAGAAAGAAAGAAATTAACGTGATTAAACCATCATCACAAGATTGGAAGGACAGGGCAAAGTTTGTGATTTTCTTCTAAGGTGACAAGTTCAAATAGTTTTGGATACAGCTAAAAATCACTTCAGTCCAAATACAAGTTTAACCTTTCTGTATTGCTTATATGGGACAACATTCTATTTTAATCTGATACCTGGGTTTTGTTCAAGACCAAAACTTGCAGATGTGCAAATATTTAATTTAAAAACAAGCTACCAAAAGAAAATATTGCCATTGAGCAGGTTCAATAAAATAAATATTTTATTTATAAAGCAAACCTAGATTTTGTAAATTATGTTGTTTTGGATGTCAGCTGTACAATAAGATGAATAAATACATGTATGTTTTTTCAAGAAGCCCTGCATATACTCCTATATTCCAACAACCCCTCTTTTTTTTTTTAATGAACACATGATCACAAACTGTTGATATATAATTACTGCAATAAGAAAGTAATTTAATGTAACCCAGTCTAAATAAGAAGGTAACCACTATTAGTTGTTTCTATGACAAATTAGAAATAATTATGTAAATATATGTAAAAAGAAAGAAGTATTGTAGGCTACAGAAAGAAGGTGATCACATTCAGTATCAATAAACAAAAATACAAAATTTTATACATATCTTTATTGAACAGCAACATACTAATACATAATAATTATTATGTTAGAAGGACAAAAATATAAATGTTTGCTAATCATTATGATGGGCTTCTAAATTATTTTTTTGAAACATAAGAACCTTTCTCCTGCTGTACAAAGCTGAAAACTGAGGAGCTCAAGCAAGCAGCATTCATACAGAATTCAGCATTACAAAGAAATCAGATTAAAAGAAATATAAAGAAAATTAAGGAGTACACACATCAAGAACAACTTAGCAGGTTCTCTACCTGGGAGAAGAAAACAATGCTATCCCTAGAGCTAAAAAAATCAAGCATTAAAGTAAAAGCTGAGGAATCACATGGACGAAATCCAGGAGAGAAGTCCATTTCCAACTGCAGTTCATATCCAGTTCTCCTGACTCTGCATTTGAAGGTAGCAGTTTGGGCTAAGATTCATGTTTATATATCAAATGGGAAGAAAATGTTTACATCAAATAGTTAATAAATACAAAGTTTGCAGTGGACCTTGAAAGCCTTGTGAGGCCTAACTGTGGGGCAGGATTAAATAATTAAACATTCTATCAGGTACCTCCAACCAACTTTGAAGACAGGAGATAGCTAAACAAACACAAAAAAATTTATTACAGCAGCAGGAATATAATTCCAGCAGTAGCTGACTGTAGTTGACTTCAGATGATCCCAGGAACTGCTTACAACGCAATACAAAAACACAGTCCTAGTTTATAACCTACTCCTGCTTTTTCCTTTTCTGTTGACACAACCTGCCAATAGTAATAGGAAGGAGAAGAAATGAATAAGGCATGTTTTCTATCTGCACTGTGGTGATCATAGGCGGGAGCAAGATTTGAAAGTAGGTCACTGCATTTTTAAGTGTTTTACTTGATTTTGATACAAGCGAAGTAAGAGTGTGGACAAAGTTTTCTGAGTTGTGCTTACAGGCAGGATGCTGACTCTGCTTATTCAGGAATTATTAAACCCAAATAATTCTTTCTTATAAATACAGGAAAGATACATGAAGTGTTTCACAACACAGCCCCGTGGGAGGCTGAGGATTCTCAATTCCTATTTAGTCGATAGCATGCTACACCTCTAATATTTGGCAAGGAGGTCCCAAAGGTAACTGAAAGTATTAGATATTCATAGTTTTCTCCTGTATCCTCATAGCTTTTTTATCTGTACACTTAACTATCATCTACTGCTGGTTACCTGTTTAGTTCAGTGAGCCTACTCAATACCTCAGCAGTGGTGTTGCCCTTATTTGCTTACCCGTTTTTAAGCACCCTGAGAAGTTGCTGCCATGGCCTTAATGATATGCCCATAAAACATGAGGTTTTTCAAAAGATTATGTTAATTTTAAAAAGAAATTTTTTTTTAATTTTTCTGGATATGTTGTTAATTGCAAACTTAAAATTTTTAAAGGCTTTATGTGAAGAAAAAACAACATATTAGAGACTGGCTTTGTGACCCCCTCAGAAGACACAGTCTGGGGACACTTCAGATGAGACCAAAAGGTACACTTCACTGCCTCGTTTTAAGCAGCCTAAAACTTCCACAGAGAAGCTAAGATTTCATAATTTAAGAATTTCAATTCAAAAAGGAAATATTCTAGCAGCAGTTGTAGCTCAGTAATACAGGCTACACAACAAAGAGCAAAGAGCAAATTTTTTTCCTCACTTGTGCTGGCCCATCTACAAGTAAGACAATTCAACAAGTGACACTGACTTAAAAATGGTACAAGTGAGCAGTCAGCCAAAGCAATAGATAAAAGAGAAAGCCATGGTTGAATTTTCACCCCTAAAATATTTTACTGTTGTAGATGTAACTTTGCTGACTCTGCTCATCAGTTACTAGTAAATGATGATTTTGAAAGAGGAATTCTGCAGTTCTACAGGTTTTGTCCTGCTGCAAATAACCAGACAGCTTTCAGAGCCAGCATGGCGAAATCTTTGATGGGTTTGGCTCTTTACCTCTTACACAATGCCAAAAGGAGATGGTGAGGAATGGGCATTCAATGGCCATAGAGTTACTGCCCATCAGTAGCTCATTCCCCACCAGCTGTGAAATGACTCTCATAGTTTTGCCACACTCAAATCTGCATAGATCAAAGAGCAAACCTAAATATTACCTAGCTGATATAATAATCCTGATCCTATGTCCTCCTTCTACTCTGTGTTTTGACTTGAAGGACAAGGCTATTGTCTCACATACTTCTGTACTTGTACTCCTGCTCTTCACCTGTCAGCTGAGTCAGGAATTTGGTGAGCCAAGTCCTTTGGAAATTTGCAGTCACAATGCAGGCATCATTATACAAATGATATATAAACAGCTCAAGTGTCATAAGCCATTTACCGAGCCTGTGCCTTATAAGAAGTGACAGAAAATTTGCAACTGAAGTGGCACAGGAAGAAAAGACAAAGTAAATAAGCAAACATTTGTCATTTTCACCCTCAAAATATTGTGGACAACCCTAACCAGAACTAAAAGAAAGAACCTTGTAGTTCTGAGTGCTATGAATTACTCTCTGGCCTTAGTTTACAATGTCCCTAACTCATATCTATCCTGTTAAAAATGCACCATGAGGGAAAGATGCAAAATACGACTTTGCAACAAAGACAAATCTCACTTTCATGGAATATTATTTCCAAGGAAATTATGAGGTATTCCAGGCAATGGAGCATATAGCATTCAAAAATGATTTAAAAGCCTCTAGTCACCTGAAGTTGGAAAGGATAACTTTAAAGTGAAAAGATAGCAAATAACTTGTGAGTTGAAACAGCTTGAAAGCTAATCCCAGTAAATCAATGAGCTTCTTGGAGGGCTCTTCAACATGATAGACAACAATTAACGGAACAAGTTAAAATCATGTTCCTGAGTTTATTCCATCAGGAATAAATTTATACATAATAATGGGCAGCAGGCAACACAAATTTTATGCGGTGGTTCTCTGCAGTTGCTTCTGGAAAACTTTCATTTTGCAGAGTAGCTTCAACATATTGAGATGTTTTCACATAATTGGAGTAATCCTTCAAAATGTTAAGTCTCTTAAAAAGATGTCGAGCACTGGCCTCAATTTTAGGACACTGGTAGTATGCAAAATAAGGTCCTTTGCAGTTAAGACAGGACAATCAAAGAGTAATTCAGTTTTGAGAGTAGGACAGGAAAGGACCACTTGCACAAATAGCTGTTCCTACCTTCTCTTTGAGGTCACTGGTTTCATTGATGAAGCCATCTCTCTCCTTCTCCAATTGGTAAATAATCTTCCTTTGTTTCTGAGCTTCAATCTTATAATTTTGGATTTCTGCTTCCAAGTTCTGTTTTGACTGTTCATGGAGCTTCACCAAATTTATCTGCTTCTGAGTGGCATTTGTAGCCTTGATCAAGTTCTACAGGGAACAAAAAATAACAACTCTTGAGCTGAAAAGGCAATACTGCCACCGCTATGACAAAAGCATGCCATTGTCAAAGTGGATTATGGACTTTCCAATGTTATTATCCCTTATCTAATTTGTTCAGTTGAAATACTGGAGCCTCAAATCTGATTTTAAAAACAAAATCTCTAGCACAGCTGCTAAATAGAGCTTTTTCTGATTTGCAGTTAAAGCACTAGTGTCTGTGTTACAAAAAAAAAATTGATAGTTTTGTTTACGAGCGGATATGACTAATGACTGGAAAAATCTTACCAGTTTTAAGGCATTCTGGATGCAAAGCATGCCAATAGCCAGTAAAATTAATAATAAAGCCAAATACTCTTCCTTCTCAGGTATTAAATACAAACTTCAAAATGGAAAATAACTAAGCTTATCTTAAAATTATGCATAAGGATTAAACAGAAAACACAAAGATATCATCTTTACAAAATCAGGCTTCTGGTCCAATTTTAAATTTTCTTTCCCTATACAAAACAAGTATTTGTTACCTGCCAAATCTGAGCCTCTGCTAGAGTCAAGACACAGGACAATGAATCTACACCAAATAAAGCACCTCAGAAATCATCTTCTGGCACTGAATTTTGCAGATTACACTTCAGGAATGCCCATAAACATGAGATGCTATCCTGCAGTACAAGAACCTTGGGCTGATAGGAAATGACCAGTGTGAGAAACGGACTTAAAAGCGAGGATTAGTACTGACATACCCTGCCAAGCTGCTACGTGGTGTTATCAACACTTTGGTTTGCAAACTAGCAAAGACTTAGTTTGCCTAGACTGATACTAAACTTCAAATGCTACAGAGTGTAAAAGCACAGATATAATGAACTCATTGGATACCAAATAATGGGTTTGTAGTAAAGGTGAGCACATGTCATATTTCTGAAGTACTTGATGGTTTATATGTTAAAACTTAAAAATTTTCTGTGTGTTTAGGGATACCACCACTACTTCAATGCACAGAAAAGAAGCAGTGTGTGCAACTGATAACGGAAATCTGAATGCTTTAACTTAACGTTATGTATTCTATAACACTTCTGTGTTGTTGGGAGTGTTTAAACTACAGGTATTTTATTATCAAGCTGTGAGGTTTATCAGTGTTATCAGTACAAACTCACCTGGTTTAGCATATCCCTTTCCCTCATAAGCCCATCTGTAGCTCTCTTGTCAATCTCTGACTGCTTTTTGGCTGATTCCAACTCTAGAGAAAAAGAGGAAAGAGAATAAATCCTGGGTTCAAAGTGTACAGTTGTTAAAAATGCAGAAACAACTTAGTGGACTTTTTAACAGCCTGTACTACGAACACCTCTATTAGCTGTGAACAGATTTTAGAACCCGAGGTATCATCTAATGATGTTAATACTTACTTGGGTATCTAGAAAACTTACTAAAACTCAGAAGACAGACCCATCCATCTGTTAGGCACCTACCTTTCTCCAGTCTGGATATTTGATTTTTTAGCATGCCTTTTTCATTTTCTGCATCAACTTTTTGTTCCTCTGCAGCACGCAGCTTATTCTGGAGAACTTCTCTCGTTTTGTTCAGCTTTGAAATGTCAAGGCGCATCTGAGTCGCTTCATCTTCTCTCTCCTACAGAACAGCAAAAAGGGAAGTGGAGAGAAAGCATCCACAGAAAGAAAGAAGAAAATGGTTTTGCACTTCTTAGTATGTACTTATTTCACAAAATTCAGGAAGAAAACATATAAGTGCTGTGAGTCACCTGCGAGAAGATCATTAGCTAATTGGACAATATTAAAAAAATTCAAACAAAGCCAGCTAGGGAAAGGAAAACGATAATCCAATCTTACACTTCAGGGCTGAAGATGATCAATATAGAATTCTCAGCTAATCCCCAGCAGACTTCACACAGCACTACCCAATTAGTCCTGCAGACTAAGCCCAGGCAGCTCTAATTTCCTTTGAATTAACAAGCACAGTGACTGTGATGAGAAAGATATCTGTAGGTCTGACTGCATGTCCCTGAGCAGCAGGTGTGTGTTATTCCCATCTCCTTTATAACCTGTGCCTTTAAGGAAAAAGCAAAACGTAGAGTTCATCTCATACGCTACACAACAGAGGTAAAAATAATCAACCAAAACACTGCATAACTGGTTACCAGGAAACATATCCAATAATCACAACAGGGATCTGCCTTTTTGCTTTTAAGAAGTAAATATAAATTCCTTGTATGATTCCGTGCCGCTGTTGGGTTTTATAGCCATCACAGACTACAGTGTTCCACTTACAGCCTCAGATACTGATTCTGTGAGATGAGGAATCCTGGTATGAAAGGATCCTCTGGGAGGATGTGAATCTCCTCAGTTCTTACTGACAACAACCTTCAAGAGATTTAAGAGTACCCTCACAGTTTGTGTTGCCCAACACCACAGTGGAGGCATTCAGCACACTGCAGGATGGAACTGCAAACACTGCATCTCAGATCATGAATGGGGCTCTCAGAAGCTTTAGCAATTGGCTTAGCTACTAACTAGGTAGTGGCTTCTACTTTTTTTATTCCCAGAAGTCCATCTGCATGACTTTAAAAGTTCTATCAACTTCTCTTGAAATCAGGATAAGTTCATAGAATCAAAGCATTTTGACACTTTAGAGCCCCAAATGTCTCACCTGAGCACGTTGTAAAGTTTTAAACAATGATGGTACTGAGAGAAGTAATGATAAAACTGTATAGCCCAGAAAAGACAGTAATTTTTTTTCAAATAGGTAAGAAAAATAGCCTTTAGTTTGCCTGATAAAATGCAACAGAAAACAAGTCATCCTTCATATAATATCCAAATCAGAATCATCTGTGTTATATTAGTAATGAACTGAGCTTTTAATCTGTCAGTGGTTAGTTTCTCATTCTGCCTAACAGGCTCTATTGGCAAACAAACTTTTTATTTAGGTGAATTAAACTCAATTAGAAATTATTTTCTACCTGAATTTTCTCATGTTTAGTGTTTTAACTGCCATGATGATACATAATGCAAGATATGGCAGAGAGCATAATACATTACCCTTTATCACAAGGGCTCTCAAAGTACCTTAAAAAGCATATGCAAGAATCATTTAATCGTTCCTCAACTGAAAATCACCTGTTTCTGAGTTCTATGAAATAACTGTTAAATAATGGGAAGTAAGGCAAGAAAACCATTTAGATCTGAAAGTAAACACCATCTTGGTTACTTACATTTAATTTCCTCAGCTGTGGAAAGGAAAAATTTTACTGTTGAAAGTAATTCCCTTCAGCGAAGCCATCCAGAGCATTTTGGTTTATGTGTTGTATAAAACACAGCACCTCCAACATCACTGGTGCTACACTGCCAGGTGAGATGTTTAGAGACAACCATGACCACACTACTGCCACAGAAAGGATGGCACTCAGTGTCAGACACATCTACTCCTACAAACTCCTCAGATTTCCTCCAAAACTGCCCAGAGGAAACTATAAGGACAAGAACTGAAGTCAACCCTGTCCAAAGTGGTAAGACTGTCGTGGGAGTGATGAGGCTGATGGGATGGATGAAGCTTCTGGTACTTACCTTCAGTTGTGTTGTCTTCTGATTGACATCCTTCATCACCTCATCAAACATCACACTGTGCTGTTCACTCTCTTGCATGAGTTTCTGATTTTTCATCTTAAGTTGCTCAAGTTCCTTACTAGCTTTTTCATTCAAGTTCTGTTAGATTAAAGAACAATCCTATTAATTCTTTTAAATCTCATTACAATATCTCCATATACATGAAGACAGAACCTTCCGTCTTCCCTGGAGATAAAAGCTGTTACAGATTGTTGTCTGCTTTTCTTCTCTGCTGATGAAACTACTAATGTGAAATATGATACATGTTCACATTGATTAGGGGAAATCATGATGAATAACACATCCAGTATCTTTTTTTTTTTTTTCTGGAAGCTTAGCAGGTTTCTATTGCAGGCGGTAGATAAATATTTTACTTCTTGTTAGGCATTTGGCAACCATCACATAACACAACTTGCTACATATAATTATGAGATTCAAATTACTTCAATCAGCAGAGGGCAGGGGAGATCTGTTTTATGAGCAAGCATCCTACATTAATATGCTGATAACATTTCTCTGGTTACATGGTTTGCTGAGACCAGGACACAAGTATTTTCCTCTTTAATTTGTCTTCAGTCAAACATCCGGAATAACCATTTTGTGGTTTCTACAAAGAACACAGACTCCAGTACTGGAGATACCAGTCTTTTCTTCTGCTTGATGGAACACCCTTTGCAGACAGCACAGATACAAGTGAGGAAAGAACAAACCATCATATTTTTCACTCCAATCATTAAGGTGTGATAACCTGATGGAGTCGATATGTATTATGCCCTTAAAAAACATTAAAGGAGGAGAAGGAGAATCTAGAGTAAAAACAAGGAATACTGTTTATTTTTATTGTAAATGCCAGGATGACATTGTTTCAGGCAATCCTTTATTGAGACTTGGACAGGGCTGGAATGAAGTTTATAGCAGCTGTATCAAACCACTATCACTGTCACGCAAGAAAGGATATTTTATTAGAAATTTCATGGGAATAAGGGCAGGCATCACAGACAACTACAATTCAGCTGACAAACAATAACTTGATGACATTGCAATAGCTGTGTCCCTTTCTTTTGCAGATCTCTGCCCTGGCTCTTGCACAGTTGGGTAGCCTGTAGTTTGGACAGACTTCTAGGAAAAGACAATGCAGAGCCTCCATAGACACCTTCAAGCCAGCACAGGCAAATGCAGAAGTCTGGTTAATTAGCCCAGGCACAGCACTTTATGTGAACTGCTGGTTTCCAGGACAGTTTGGACAACTGAATGTCCCTAAAATCTGAGTTTGAATGGTTGAAAGGGACTATAAAAAGGAAGAAGAATGGAACAGAACCAGGAATTGTATATACAATGTGATTGTCATGGCAGATCATGGAGCTGCCCTCAAAAGCTGCACCAAATCAGTGATACTCAGAGAAATAATCGAGTCATCTCTGTATCTCTTTATGTGAAGTATTTTACTAAGACTCTGTGTTGACAAAAAATTGGCACAGAGCTCTTCACAATTTCAGAGACCAGAAGGGAAGAAAAAGCCATAAAAGTCATAAATTTACAAGATACACACATCTCACAAGGAAGTTTCCCTTGAGGTAGGACTGGTTTACAGGGATGTGATCTACCCTGCCATTTATGGAAATTGCTTCCCTAAGAGTTTCTCAAGTCAGGAGAAATAGACTGAAAACCTGAAATTTCACACTTGCAGAACACTATGTTAGGACATTTCCAGATAAAGTTTTTAGAAACAGAATGAGAAAAATCAATCAAAAAGATTTATGAAGACAGTTCTTTGCCCTTTCACAAAAACTGTCCCACAGGCTTGAAAGGTAGATAAAAATTATTGAGAAAAAGAAGAAAGAAGGGGATGGAGGTAACATTTTTTACCAATGCCACTAGAAACAATCTATGGCAAATCTGGCAATATAGTCAGAAGTCCAGCCTGGCAATCTTCTGAATGATCATCAGATCACTCATGCTCTTCACAGACTACGTCTCCTTTGTTGTGACGTTTTTCATGATCTCTAACAATATCATTGCAATCCACTACTGATTTCTGGGAGGAAATCTGTCTGAAATTTGTCAGCAAGCTTTACATACTTATTTATTAGTAAATTAATACTATACAAAAACAAATATTTATTAAAATTTAATAACTTAAAATAATCTCCCTCCCTGTCCCTTCAGAAAAATCCATTTTCTACTTAATTAAACATCTAACTCTAATCTTAGATCTGAGAATACAGTGTGCCATATACCCTACCTTCTGCTCTCTAAGTTGTTGCTCCATTTGCAGTTGTTCCTCTTTGCTCCTCTCTATTTGCTGCTGTAAATTCTGGATCTCAGCTTGCTTTTTATCCATTTCAGCTAGAAGATTTGTCAGCTCAATCTCCATTTTTTCCTTCTTTCGAGCCTCTCGTAATTCCTCATTCTGGCGCAGCTGGATGTCTTGCTGAAGCTATAATAATGGAGAAGAAAACAGCTTTAAGTTCTTCTGCCTCTGACTCAGGAAAACAAGTCCTCTCACCACTCTTACTATGCTTGATTTTGAAAACAACAGCTTCTACATTACTGTACCCATTACTACACAGAATATGCCAGATCTTCTCAGAAATAATTGTGTTCTCTAATGGTGAAACAAAAAATCCTGCATGAGGGGACCTATTTATTGATAACAAGAATTTGTTAAGCACCAGTCAGTTCACCCACACAGCAGGGTCTGATACAGTTCAGACATAAAAGCATTCCTCTGGAGATTCAGTGGCACTAATGTCTTTTCTGTTATAAGTGGTACTTTCAGAATGCAGCATTAAAATTAATTAGGGCTTGATGTTATATTGCAAGGATTTTTACTTTTCTATCTCACCAGCAGAAACATTTCTTACACTGGTATTAAAGAGAGACATGTCAGACCAGTGTTCATTTTCACAATTGATCTCAACATTTCTGCTCTCCAAGTTCCTCTGTGGGAACTTTAAAAGAGGAGCTTTTTCTCATATTTAATAGACTGTCTTGTAACTTCTGCTGTCTCCCTCCCCAAAAATGTGATGGAGCAGAATCAGCAGAGAGGAGACACAGGGGGCTGATCCACATGGAAATACTCAAGCTGAGCAAGGACCAGCAATTGAAAACTGTTCTTTGCTTAAGAATTCTTCCCCCTATGAGCTCACAGATGAAAAGTTGCCAGAACTGACAGGATCTTCAAAAGGACATTGTCATTTTAGCAGTCTGAAGTGGAGAATAATTCTATACTGGAAGAATGGGACGTGATTACAAATGCTGCAACAATCCTGTACATTTAAGGGCTGATGAAGTGAGTATCAGAAGATTAAGGCTGCCACGATTCAACAAGTTGTGACAGGAGTTTCAATCCTCTCTCTTTTCTCCCATGCCCAAAATACAATCAGGAAAACAAAGATTTTATATTCTTTTCTAATACATTCCCATTCATCCACTTTAGAAACAGAAACAAGTTCTGGGCATGAAACCCAGACTGATCATTAATTTCTAATTTGTGGATTAATAAAAAACCATAAGCCAAATGCTGCTTCTATCTCTTCTTTGTTCTTTGATTCTTTCCCACTCTTCCTTTCTTCTGACGTCTTGCTCCAGCCCCTGCTTATATTCTGTTTTAAATTCTTTCATTCCTCACTGTTATATTTTTATATTTGATGTATCATATGTCTGTATACCATCTTCCACCCTTTTCTACTTTCTCTCCATTCAGTGGCTATTTCACTGATCCTCATCCTTCTGCATCTCTAGCTGCTACACACACTTAAAGGAATCTATACATATTGATCATTAAAGAACAACTGTCCACTCAGATGGTCAGAAAAACAGAAAGCCTAACTTAAAGTTGAGATGGAATAGGGCTGCTCTCTAGAGACACTGGTGAGGTGAAAATTTAAGCTGAAGGACAGTAGGCCAGAATCAGTGTAAAGAAGAAAGTAGGAGCTCTCTAACCATTAGAAAAGTGAGGTTCTGGAAAAGTTTCCCAAAACAAGTAGGAGAGAAAATGACCTAATTTTTAAGTCAGAATTTGACACATTCTTAAAAATTATGGTATTGCATGATATGGCAACTACTGCCAACAGCAAGGGTCTCCATTCCAGTCTATGTTCCAAGTGCCTCTCTCGAGGCATAATGATCTACAATGCAAAAACCACCACACATCTCCAGTAAGAAAGATGACTGATTCAGGCAAAGCAACCTTGGCCTCATTCAGGGTATTGGGAAGCTACAGAAGCAGCTGGTACATGACAATACACTTTGTAAAGGACACAGTCTGGAAGTACAGAAAAATCATTCACAACAGACTCCTTTCTGAGCACTCCTCATGTTTGAGATGTGAAGGAACAGGTAGCATACTAGTCAATGCAGCTCAACTGCAGGTGTGGAGAAAGGCTCAGGACAAAGCCTAAAAACCACCACCCAATGATTGGTACAGACCTGCAGAACAGATTGCTCTGCCTCGTTTTTTGCCTTCTCTGTTTCCTCCTGCTGCGCTGTGATTTCAGCAAGACTTTGACGTAACTTCACAACTTCTGACAACAGTTCATCTCTCTCCTTTGTTACCTCTTCTTGAAGTTCTAGCAGTTCCTCCACACTGGAAGGAAGAAAATAATAGTCAAGCAGTGTCACAGGCCATTCCAGTTATTCCTCCTATGCCAGGGCAAGACCTTTTTGAGAAACAGAAGTTTAAAAGTAATTTTATTTTAAACTCCTCTTGTATTTAGATTCTGGTCGTCAAGTGAATTATATGCTTTATCTACTGTGATCCACGTCACCATCAACCAAGTCCAATAAATCACTCTTTCCTGTTATATCATATTCTCAGGGGTATGAATAAACCTTCAGTTTCCCAAAAAGGTAGCACGAAACAAAATTTCCTCCTGTCTGCTCACTGCAAAATTACTTAGGGACCAAAAATGCCAGTGCCTCTGCAGTTTACCTGTCTGGACACCTAACAAAATGAAAGAAAGTCCAAGCACCATGGGCTCAAGCTCAACCTAAAAAGCAGCCTTATAGTTCTAAAAGACAATAGGGTTTTCAGGGCTGAAACCCTGCAAAGGAGTTACCTCATCTCTTGGCCTTGTCCCTGGGCAGGGTATTTAAGCATAGAATTGAGGGCAATACAGAAAGAACTTCAAGAAGAAATTGTAAGTAGTCAGGTCTCAGCAGAGCCTGAGCAGAGCTGGAAATAGGAGTGAGGTGTTGGAAACAGGAGTGAGGTGCCAGCAAAGTAATGGCTCCTGCCTCTTGCAGTAAAATGCAAAAAGCAACCAGAGAGAGATGCCTTCAGAGAGAGTTACACCAAGGGGAGACTTAATGACCAAGCTTTTAGTCCAAGGAAACCTGTTAAACAGGTCCAGAACATTTCAGGGACAAATGGTGAAGGAATGGATTTCTCATGGACCCAGGTGGTCTATCTGCTTGGAGGGGAAATGTTTGAGCACACTGAAGACCTTGCTCACAGACACAAGTCTCTTTTCTTGAAGAGATGAGCATGCCCCATATATATCCTGTATGCATAATACAAATAAACACCTTGAACTGTGTCGAGCCATAACCAGCAGGGCCAACCATCAATAATTTCAACAGAAAGTGCACAGGTCATAGGGTCAATACACTTAATCTCATATTTGAGTTTACACACAATCTTACAGCAATAAGCAGAGTCTGAGGACTTGATACCACAAACAGTAGAATTTGGAGGGCTTCTGAGCAGCTCCAGAGGATGATTATTATTTGCATACTGCATTGGTTAGAGGCTCTATCTCAGACTACGTCTCTCTATGCAAAAATATTTGGTTTAAAAAAACCCAAACACAATCTTGAAAGTGTATACATATAAAATACAAACAAGAACACAGACAGTGCTAATGCCTTATAACAAAGCTAGCAACAAAGAGAAATCAGGTCTTCCGCTTCCTTGACTTGATCTTGCTGCTGTAAAATGTGAAAATGTTGACAGGATTCTCTAACACAAAGTATGCTGAAATGCTAGTCAGATAAAACAATATGATACATACTGAAAAAGTGCAGAACATTGATTTTTATTTGATCTCGCAGCTTAATCCAATGCTGAATGAACTCACTCTGAGCCTGATTCTGTACTTGCCCACTGAACAAACACACGGACAAATAAATGTGTATGCATGAGAAAAGTAAAAGGCAGAAAAGATCTGTTTTTTAGTATCTTTGTAGGATTTAAACGGCTTAACAAGGTGTAGCATGATAGAAAACCAAATTAGGCTTTCCCTCTTCCTGAGGAAAACTTACTTGTACTCCTGTGCTCTTTCCTTCATTAAGTTATTTAGGCGCGCAATTTCCTTTTGCAGTGAATTAATTGTTTCCTTTGCTTTCTGTTCCTTTTCATAGGCTGTGTCCACCATTTTCCAGGACTTTTCAAGCTCCTAGGAACAAAATGGAAAACAATCACATAAATGAATTTATGTTTAAAATTAACCACAAACTAAAAACTAATTGCCTTGCATTTTAGTTAGTCGAGAAAATAGGGTTTAGTCCTTTCATGTTTAGGTTCACAACAGTTCCCTTCATTGGTATCTTTTTTGGGGGTGAGGGAATAGCAAACATTTTGAGCCATTCGGGTTATGTCAATTTACATCACAAAAGCTCTAATGTATTTTCTTTAACTCATGGATCTGAGTATTATCACATCTCACTCTATGAGGCTTTGATCATGTGAGTACCACTAATATATAAAAATTTACTGAAAATTCAGTGCCCACAAAGGGCACCACAAAGTACCACCCACTTAAATAGCTCATGTCTGTAAAAGTCTTATTAGCTGTTAGGACAGTGAACGTCTAATTCCGTTTGGATGAGAAAAAGATGTTACTTGACTCTTCTGCCTCTTTGTTCATCTTCACCTGTGAAGATGTAGTGTTTTTTGATTTTAACTACATATTTAGACAAGCCACAACTCCTATGCCAAATTTCAGCACATGGAGTTACTTGAATGACAGATTTCTGTGCCTCTCACAAGTCTGCAGTTTGATATCCACAAACAGCATAGGGGAGGAGGGTTCACTTAATTTTTTAGCTTCCCCTGCATTTCTCTCCCTTGAACCAGATCCTTATGAATCAAAAACAAGGCTTACTCCTTGCCTGGTTCAAACCAAGCTCTTATGTGTAAATCCTGTGCTAAAAACATGCATAGATTCAGAAAGCTACTGGACTGGAAGGAAAGTTCCCAAAGACTCAGTAAATAATGAAGACACTACTTTTGTCCCTGAGCTGCAAATCACAGCATGATGCTCCTTCTTTCACACTCTTTTCTCAGCTGGCTCCTCGTGGAGTTCTGGACTTGACAGATTTGTACAGATTTAGACCCCAAGTGTGGCTGTGCGGTTCTCCATTAGCTCCAGGGTCTCCCCAAGGAGAGCCAAACAGAAGCAGCATTACATCAGGCCATAATATCCCCTTCAACTCCTGCTTGCATCAAATGAAATTGGGGCAGGGAAAAAATATTTTAAAAACCACCTCCATAACAAAGAAAATAAAATAATTTAATTTATAGCACATAGTTTACAGAATTATTTATTGTAATGAACATCTCTGATCTTAAAAAAACCTCTATATGACATTTAACTCTAAATTATGACACCTATATTATGGTATGTTGTTAATATTTTTATTGGACCATTAAAGACCAAATAAATTTAATATTTAGCTGCCTAAATTAAAAATTCAAGCTATCAAACTAGGAGAAGTAACAGGCTACCGGATTTTGCTGAAAAGATAATACAAAATATAACATCTGCAGCCTCTTCAAACTGCAGAGGGAATACATTTTCATTTTATTTATTCAACTAGTTTAGCATATCCAAATTTGGGAAGCCATCTGGAACTTAAAGATCAGGAATGTTTGCTCTTCTTTTTTTTTCCCCCAATCTATTAATAAGAGTTAAATGGTGGGCTTTACTTGTTCAGAAATTCTGAAAGAGATTTTAGTCAATTAAATTCACTATCTACAAGGAGTATTTTCATTATTTAATAAATTACTCAGTTCAAAATTTAGTTTGAAAAATGTGCTTTTTCACTTATGTATCAAGCATATTTAAACAGTTTTAAGTACTAAAGTCAATTTGTTTTATACATATTGAGTTCTAATTTCCATTCAAATGCAGCAATGATCACACATAAAGGATTAAGTATGATCTAGTAAATAATACATTTTTCATTGATTATTATCTTACATAAAAATGTTCAATTATGAAATTTAAATAAATGCATGCTAGACTGAAATAACAGCATGAAGACAGTGCATCATGTTGTATAGCAGAGAAGCATAAAATGTAACTGTAAATAAATATGTTTCAGATTTTTCAACCAATAAGAGGCAAACATCCTTTCCCTACAAAAATGCAAATCGAAAATAAGATTAAAGCTGATTACTTAAATCAAAGCTTCCTGCTGGCTGATTAAACTGTGATTAAAATTGGTGAATTAAATCATTGTGATGGGAGTTTTGGGGGCTAGAACTGGAGAATAAGATCAATATGCTCTCTGAGAGGCTCTACTGGCTTCAGTGAGTATTTTGTTCTGGTGAGTATTTGCAAAAGTGATCCCCTGAAGTCAATGAGGCCATTCAGACGACCAGTGATTTCAGGTCTCCCTAAGGTGTGCTTTTGGAACTTCATCTTACTTTTGATGTGCAAAACCAATTCTATTGAATTTGTATTGATAATATCAATTTTTATTAACAAATTTAGGAAGCACAGGTGATGGCCCCATTATTAATCAAAATCTAAATACAAATTTGCTACAGACTTCAGCATCAGCAAAACCGGGTTTTGTTGTAGTTGCTTCTTGGTTGTGTCTTTTACTGCGAGAAGCAAATCAACAGACCTTTTAACTTCAAAAGTACAGAGGAGGAAAATTTTGATGATGGAAGCCTTCACTGAAAAAATATTCCCATTGTTACTCAGTGGAGAGGGGAACTGAAAGGTTGCAAAGGTATCAGTAACACTGAGTAACTGCAGTATTCTGTTAGGTGACATGCTTGGCAGTCTGCTGCGTAAATAAAGAAGGAAGTACACTGGATGTTTGCCATTAGAATAATTCAAAAATTTTTTGAGAAGTACTGAACTCTGGAACTTGTGAAGCAGAATTCTAAAAGTGGGATTGCCTTACTTTATTTTCATTAAATACCCTGAACATCAGTTTCATTGCTCAGAAACTGAGAATTAATGAAATGCTTTTTTAGTATATTGGATTGATACGCCTGGAAACTGAAAATTTGGTAATTCCAAGCAGGGCAGTACAAGCTTCCATAAATTCCCCTTCCAGCATTCTTCCAGTGCAGACTCATGGATCAGTATCCCTACCCACGAAAAACAGAACTGTATTCCCTTCTTGATTAGCTTGGCCCTTTGCTCCTTTGATAGGACTACAAACAGCAGACTGTTATGCCCAGTTTATTAAAACTACAAAATAGAGCCCTGAACAACCACCAGACAGTTAACAGCTACTGATTATTACTGACCTGAGTTCCACTCTGTGGTTAACCCCTGCCCCAAACAAACCCCACTGATTACAAACAGGCTTTCATATCGAGGAAAATTTTGCTTCCGGAACTTTTATTCATATATGAAACAGTGATCTAGAAGAGCAAGGCTGTGCTCCTGTTACCCTAATGACCCATCAAGTCACCAAGATTTAGGGCCTTAATTTGAAGAAAGTATACCATTTTTACAGGAACAGCACCATCAGAATTATTTTATCATTTATAATTAAATAATAGCATTATAAATAATTAAATTGTGGGACAGATTGTTTGTTTAATTTAGCACTGAAGAATATCATCTTAGCTACTTTAGCACTTGAACTTCTCTCAATATTACTAGAGCTGTAACAGAACTTCCCTTCAAAAAAAGGAGAATAAGATGGAATATGAAGGGTATACCAAGAAAAACTCCAAGAATATTTTAAATTATATCCAAATAATTCCTGAACATTTAAGGGAAAGACTAATTCTCGTAACCAAACTGAAAAAGTATCAGTGCTGTATACTTGGCTCACAGCAAGCCACTAGAATCGAAATGTCATGTGTTGTGCACTGCAAATAATTTCTAACAGGATCATATTGTCAAGCAGCTTTTTCATTAGAAAATCTCTGAATGGGTCCAAGAACAGGCAATGTGGTAAAGCTATACCCTGCCTGAGCTTCAAATTAGCTGCTGAAGTTGGAAAAGCTCTTATTTTCCCAACATTTCTGCTCCTCAGTTTTATGATGTTCCTAAGACAATGTCTCAGCTTGGGACCATCTTGAAGGACAACCTTTGCTACTGTTCACATGTCGGGTATTGCCACGTGATAGCAGAAAGAAAATTAGAAGGATCATTGTGGTTCCTGACATGCATCTACCAGGTTTTGATTAGAAGCAGTTAATATCAACAAGATTTTCTACACTTTTCCTCCTCCTTGAGGAGGCTCTGAGCAGTACCATGGGTTTGCAAGCTGCAGGCATAGGATGACAGAGCTGCTATTTATATTTACTCTAAGTGTATTTTCTTCCTAATTCCAAGGACAAGAAACTTCATTTCAAAAAACTTCTATTTCTGTAGTGCTCATAAATCACTCTGGATTGCTACACTGAATTTATTTTACTGGAACAAAACACTTTAGTGTAAGGCATGGAGGCTTCTCAAGTAAATGCTAAATTAAAGTCTGTCTAGGTATCACAGGCTAAGTTTTTAAACCATCAGAATGAGAGAAGTTCCAAATACAGACTTCTGATCATTTGGCAGCTTTAGGTTTCTGATGGTCAAAACTAAAAAAAGCCTAAAAAAACCCATCAAATGTTTTCAGTGAGCCAAGCACTTTGATTTGACAGAGTTCAAATCAGTAATAGCAAAGAATACATCCAAGTAAATTGGTAAAATCACATTGAAATGCTACATGGGACTCCTTTTCAAAAGCACTGTGAAACATTTATTTATACGAGTTGTCACTTCCCTGGCCTAAAATCCATATTTCAGCAAGAAGTAGATTTTTTATGTTCTGGCAATAGTCAACATCCAAGCAGCCCTTCAAAAGTATTAATGAATAAAAAACTGTGTATTAAGTTGAAAATGTGCTATTTTACGGAGGGAAAGTTTAAACAAAATCTATTTGTGAGCATTTGAAAGCTGATGGAGTTGGTTTAGTGCAAATAAATGCAGAATTGGACCAAGACCTGTAAAAACACCAGGCTGAGAAAACAAAGCAGTTGGTAGCAAAGCAGAGGTTAAACAGCTGGAGATGCCAGCTCTATCCTTTGTTCTCCAGCTAGTTCTCTACATAAAAGTGTTCTTGTAGGTGCTTTTCATATTGCCATGTTTTTCATTAACGATTTCAGAATATACTTCATTTTATTCAAAACTTTACCGTCTTCAGTGATGATATAGTTTCCTCATCATCTTTAGAGAGCTTAGTGAGCACAGCTACTTTAGATGACTTCTCCACAAGCTCAGCACTCAGCTTCCTGCATTTCCCCATGAGACGCTTCTCATTTTCACGAGACTTCTTCATAACAGCGAGGAGCTTCTCATATTCCACACGGAACTGTTCCAGAGCTTCATCTCTCTTAAGCAGACTGATGAATTCTTGGGAGTCTTTTTCCAGTGCCTCAAATGCACTTTCCTCTAGATACGGTTTGTCAGACTTATCCTGAGTGAAATAAGATAATCAACAAACAGGAGGAATTCAACATCTCACTTATGACCCCAGAACTTATAAAAGTAATATACTGAGTGTGTAACAGCTACTAAGTAATCATGACAACATTTTCTGTAGTAACAGTTCTTTTGCTAACACGATAATGCATGTTGGAGGCTATTTTTCAAACACATCTCCCCCAGTTTTACTGAAATAACCTGTGCTTTAACAATCAGAGTTCTTGTAATTGAGTCCCACAACTGCTTTAAAGACAAGTCTACAAAATACCATCATCGTGATAGTGTTTGAATAATGCATCAACCATTGAGGAAGCCCTGTATTTTAGTCTCAGTTCTGCCCAGTTTCTCTACCCTCTAAAGTCTGATTAGTTTATGCTTTCCATGTAAATAGTGCCAGCAAATCACTTGTAGACAAGTGTGTCTGAAAACTTCAGTAATGACAATGCAAGACAGTCCTTCCTCTGCACAAAATACTACTGCTAAACCTTTCACAGAGGACATTATTGATCTAGCTCAGTTGTGCCAAATCCTTACAACTGTATCTCAGAGGTGATCTCACTTGGACAGGAGAGCAGCTCTCCTGTTAGCACAGTCATTGTGAGTCCCCCTCCCAAAAGAGAGGCAGTAAAATACACAGTTCCCACAACTGTAAAAATTGGCCCTGGTGTCTCCCCTCTGAAAACCTCTCAAAATTGGCTCAGGCCCCTACTCGCCAGTTGAATATAAGCAGTTTAAAATTTTCAAAATTCTGAGAATTTTCAAAAACCTAAAAAAAAGTAAAGCAATTTCCTAGAGTAAAATAACGCATTTAATTTGTTTCAGTGTTTTTTGGGGCGGTGGAGTATGTAATTTCATGCTACCTGGAAACCCTGAATTTAAAAGAGCAAAACTAGACCCTTATGACGCGTTGAGGTAGAGAGACCAGTTCCATGTGCTCCTCCTCATCACGATTCTGGTTGGGGGTGGTGTCTTCTGTGTCAGAAACTTTAGTGGGAAAACCACAAGGGAAACTTTAATGTTACAGCCCTTGCTCCAGCTGGCATGGAAGGGTGGTCTGCAGCGTGAGGCCAAAATTTAGTGCATCCTCCCTTCAAGCCTGCTCTGGAACTCACAGGTTTCTTCTTATTTCATCCTCCTCTCCAAACCACAGAATCATAGAATCACAGAATGGTTTGGTTAGGAAGAGGCCTCCAAGATCATCTCATTTCAATGCCCATGCCATGGGCAGGGACGCCTTTCACTAGACCAGGTCGCTCAGAGCTCCATCTCAGCCTGGCATCAAACACTTCCAGGGATGGGGCATCCACATCTTCTCTGGGCAACCTGTTCCAGTGCCTTACCACCCTCACAATAAAGAATTTTCTCTTAATATCTAACCTAACAATCTAATTTAATATCTAATCTAAATCCACTCCCTTTCAGTTTGGATCCATTCCCTCTCTATGCTTTTGTGTAAAGTCCCTCTCCAGCTTTCTTGTAGGCTCCTTTCAGGTATTTCAGTGTTGATCTTGTTTACGTTTATGATCGTAAATAAAGAAGAGTGGCAATAAGCGGGGCGGCAGGGGGCGAAATAACACCCACGATCTTAAACGCAGCAGCTGTTCCTAAGATACAAATGCTATTACTGCCTCCGTACAAGTAGGCTAATTGCTGTGACTTTCAACGCAGGACATAACTGAGCTCTGCTCACACAGGTAAACCCCACAAATAATCATGACTTATGGGTACAACATGATGCACGGATGATGTTGCTGAGCTTATCCCGAGGTACAGCCTCCGTCCTGTCCAAACAAGGGGCGGGGAAGGGAGGGGGCGGAGGTTACAGGTTACCTCAGCCATGCTGCCGGCGGGGGGGGACAGCGGGGCTCGGGGCTGAGGGTCGGTGGCTGTGGAGGTGTCGGTGCCGGTGGCTGTGGGCGGTGGCTGTGGAGGTGCCGGTGGCTGTGGAGGTGCCGGTGGCTGTGGCGGTGTCGGTGCGGGCCCGGGGCCCGGCGGTGCCGAGGCCGCCGCTGAGCAGCGAACGCCGCGTCGTTTCGTAGCAACGGCGGCGGCTGCGGGCGGGGCCGGGCCGGGCTCCGGGGCTGCTCCCCGGCCTTGGCCCCGCTCACCCCGCGGCCGAAGGGTGGGTTTCCCTCCCAGGGCTGGCCATCTTCCTGCTGGGAGTTCAGTCGGGGTTTTTTTAAGCAAGGACACCGAGCACTGTTTCCCCTCCGACCCGAAAGGCTCGGAGCTGCTGCCCGAACCAGCAGGATGGAGCAGCTCAGTCAAAGAATCACAGATTTGTTAGGGTTGGAAGGGACGTCTGGAGGTCACCCCATCCTGCCGTGGCAGGGTCACCTAGAGCAGGGTCACAGCAACGTGTCCAGGTGGGTTTTTAGTGTCTCCAGACAGGGAGACTCCATGCCCTCCCTGGGCAGCCATTCCCCCTGCTCTGCCGGCCTCAATGTACAGAAGTTCTTCCTCATGTTGAGGTGGAACTTCTTGTGTTTTAGTTTATGGCCACTGCTCCTTGTACTGGGGTGCCTGGGCACCACTAGAAAGAGTCTGTCACCATCCTCTTGACACCCGACTTTGAGATTTATATGCACTGATGAGATCCCCTCTCATTCTTCTCCAGACTAAACAGACCCAGCTCCCACAGTCTCTCCTCACATGAGAGATCTCCAGACCCCTCATCATCTTCATGGCCTCCACTGGACCCTTTCCAGTATCTCATTATCATTCTTGTACTGAGTCCACTCGAGGCAGGGTCCTGTGGAAGGTGATAAATGGGGATTTGTGCAGTTTTGGGAGAACAAATCAAAGAACCAGAAAATGGTTTGGGTTGGAAGGGACCTTAAAAGTCATCTCGCTCCAACCTCCCTGCCATGGGCAGAAAATTCCACTAGACCAGGTTGCTCAGAATACATCCAGTGTGCATCCAAAAATTATATCCATTTACTGAGGCATTCCCGCAAGCTTCCTGGTCCAGTTGGAGATGTCCCTGTTCATTCCAGAGGGTTTGGACTAGAAGACCTTTAAAGACCTTTGGAAACCAATCCAAACTGTTCTCTGATTCTACTCTAGATTTTCCAACTCCTGGTGATTTGTGTCCTGTGAGACCCTGTAAGGGTGACTATTTAGGCTGGTCTTCATGATAACTTCCATTTGAGCTACAATAATTCAAACTCTGCAAGTTCACCCTCATGGTAGCTGCACCTCTAACTGCAATGGGTGACTGTGTTAGGAGTCTGTGGTCACTTGTTCTAAAGCCCACTTTTGATAAGCCAGTCATCGTGCCTTAAAACATCACAACTCATATCACGCAGTATTAAGTGCAACCAGGACACAAATCTGTGACAAGACTCAAATGGTCCCATTGAATTAATTCCACAACAATTAATATTAACAACAGAATGCCTCGACAGCTTCATGACCAAGGAGCTGCACTGACAATCAAGAGGACACTGGGGTTTCTGACCATAGCAAGAATTTACTTGGGACTAGCCACTTAAAATTAAATTCTTTATTAAGTGGAAATAACCACATCTGCCATCCTGCAATGCGCTGTGACTGTCATGGTTATAAATTATGCACTCATGTCATAGAGAGAATCTCCAGACAGGGTGGAGCTCTTCAAGTGGGATCACTTTTTAACACTCCCTTTTAAGCTGAGCCTATGTTCCCAGCTCTGCAAAAACATCTTTGCTAGTAAGAGCAAAAAACTCAGCCACAGAAGAAAAAAAACCAACAACTTAAATACAAACAAATAAACTTAAATAAAAATAAATAAATATCCAATAATAGCAGGAACAAGCCAGAACTCGCAAGTCTCAGTTCAGTGAAAAGATTGTTATTTATTTCCCTGACTATCTGACTTAGTTCAAGAGACACATGTACTTTCTAAATAAGTCTAAATTAAATATCTCCATATTCTTATGCTGGTAAATAAGCAGAATCACCTGTTTCACCAGCTGCATAAAAGAGAGTTTTGCATCAGTGTGATGTGTTGATGTGCATGCAGAAAGGGTTACTAGAGAAGAAATGTTTTCTCACTGATTTATTTGAGGTCACAACCCTCATGCAGTTCATTTAATGCATGTTTCAAACTGTAGTGACATGAAAATGATAAGCCATAACTTCCTGAATGTAAGGATTTATGAGCTACTGCAGAGATATAAATAAATAGAGTAAAATCTCATCATAAGATGACCCAGGAGAATGGAAGCCATTTGGGGCAGGGACCATGACAGTACATGTCTTCTGGAAAACGTAAAAGGAACCTTATGGCCAGTGGAAGGTAAGGATAAGAATTGATAAGGAAAGCCCGGGAGCGGGATTTGGGGTGTTCCCTCCCACATCCGCTGCTGTGAGGAGACGTCAGGAGGCGGCAGCACCGCACCACCACCGTGATGGCCGAACTGCCCCGCACAGCTGCTCCCTACCCCGGCCGAGAGACGCCTTACAAACCTTAATTATTACGTGGAGAGACAACGGTGGGGTGAACATGTGCTCATGGATAAGGTTATGCATTTGAATACAGTTTTGCTCAGTTTACTCAGATAATATCATCAATGGGAGATTACCTCTAAGGAAAGCAAAATTTATCTACCGATTTACTAACTAAAATATTCGTTTATATATATTACAGATATGTTACATAAATATCACTTAATCTAACTGCAAGTCTTGTAATTTTCCCAGCGATATGGAAATTCATCAGAACCTCGTGGCCTCAAAGAGCAGTGACGCTGCAGACACAGTCCGTGGGCTGACATCCTGGGACATAGCCTGGGAGCCAGATTTGCATACTCTGGGAGCTCAAAGTCATATCAGTTTTGCAGTATTAAAAAGAACGAGCTTCCTTTTTCTCCAGTGGCAAGGGAACACTATGTGGTTCTCGTTTACTTAATTAACTAGGTGGTTTTTTTACTATATTATTTCTGAATGTCCTCTCCAGCTGCTATTTTCAAACTTTATCATAGTTTTAGAATGTGACCAGTTGATCAGTTAAAATTGGAGCGAGACTTTCTGTTTTGTTCATAAAGATGATGCAACAAACCTCAAATAACAGTAACCTTTGATCATGCTTGGCATTAGAGTTGAGCCAATGATCTCAAGAGAAGGAAACATTACCATTTCCTTAAAAAGTTAAATCACAGGAGTGTTTCAATTAACAGAAACACCCAAGTAAAGAGGTTGGTTAGTTGAGACAGAAGCTAAAGCTGACAAGTGTGTATAATGTACAAATATACACTCTACATAAAAAATTAAATGGATGAGTTATGGAAAGTAAATAAAATTATTTCAATAATCCTGAAACTAAGATGAACTTGCTGTTCCTCATTATGGTTTGAAACTGCAGAACAGTTTTCCATCCCAGTTTTTCCTCCCATTTCTGAAACTGGGATTACTATGGCCTGCCACGCTTATTAGAAAATTCTTCTCTTCTACCCTTCTCCAAACCAAACACAGGGATTCTCCAAGACCACTGGAGGAAAGCAATGCTTTGCAGATCACCATCACTGCCCACTGTGGGCTCTTAGCACCACTAGTAGTATGGTTGATGCTGCCAATCTGGCCTACATGGAGAGAGACATGGGAGGGACTCTTCCTCCAACGTATTTGAAGGAATGGTCTGGCAAAAATGATTCCCACCCATCCTGGTTGCCCAGCAGCATTCATCCCTAGAGAGGATATAAAGGAAAGCCTGCAAGGTAACATAAAGACACTTGGCCCTGCACAGGTTTCTTCAGTCCTCAGTTTCCATTACCTACTTACCAGTTCTGATCCATGGCTGTCTCCCCAATCATGCACATTTGGATCTATTTAAAGATTAGTTTTAAATATGCCTAGAATCATCATGTATTCATTAGCAGAAACAACTTCTCCCCCATGCTTTCCAACAGCCTTTCGGTTCCAGCAGCAGAATCCAGGCCCTAATCTCTTATTCCTGTTCCTCTCATATTTTATTCTTCAGCCTTTAAATTCTCAGCCACCAAACATTTCCATAGATGAAAAATTGGTCTGGGATTTTTCATTATTTGACACTTGACTCCTCTGGGAGGAAGAGGCTATTAGAAAAAAATCTTAATACTCAGAGAAGTCTGTAGAAATGACAGCCATTAAAGATGTTTATAAGGTCAGGTGTAAGGGGGTAGATGAGGACACCATATGGTGAGCTGTGAGAAGGGGAACCTGTCTCCCTGCACATTTCTGTGCTGGGAGGTGTGAAATGTCTGTGGTTGAAGAGAGTCCCCTACCCCTTCTCCCCTTGATCGGTTCCTGCTTCTGCTCTGCTGAGTCATGCTGAGCTGTGCTGCTGCAGATTCCTTCAGGTTTACACAAGATGGGGCCCCAGCAAGGCCTGACAAGCAAGATTATCATCCCTGCTTTCTTTGTGTTTGAGTGTTAACATAATCCCTCTGTGCGCTCCAGACTGGCAGCTGTCTCCTGTATTCCTTGTTTTTTTTTTTATTTACTGTTTGTAAGGGTTTAAGGAAATATTGCTAGTTTTGCAATGAATTAGAAATACTAATGGAAAGAGTAAAATAAATCCTCAATCTTCTAACGTGTCTGAAGGCAGCTGAGAAAGATACCTAGAAATTAACTCTCAGCCCAAATCTCGTTCTTGTCCTACACCTGCTGATGGAATCTTAGAGTTCACTTTAGAAATAATATTATTATATCTAATTTTTGCTGCAGTAGCAGCCACATCACAGAGCCACAAGTCCCAGTGTGCAAAGAACTATGATACCATTACTCCAGTGCTTGCAGCTTCAGGTCCTGCCCAGCATCTGAGTAAGGTTAGCGGAGCTTAGCTCATTATCAAATAAATTACTACCTTTAGCAAGATAATGATCTCAAGCCTTTTGTGGTGCAACAACACTCAACCAATGAATCATGTTCTAGAGCTGTCAGGATGTGTGCTTCGAGCTTTCCCTCCTCTTTCAGACTGCTGAACTGCATAAAAAATAAACTAATACAAATCAA